TTAATGCTTTTCAAAAGGGAAAAGGGTCAAATAGACCCTCGAACTAACTTAAAAAGTGCAAATCATCCCTTATATTTCGATGAAATTTTTTGAGCATCTTCTTCATTAAGTCTAGTTTACCGGTTTACCCATGTCAAATTTCAGATTAAAATTCAACCGGGAAGACTGTCAAATGATTTTCTGAAATGTACTGCGTTGTTTAATTGCACAATTATCTTCAAAATTTCATTTGACTGCCTTCCCGATTGAAGTTTTAGTTGAAATTTAGTATGAGTAAACTAGACTTAATGAAGAAGATTCTCAAAAAGTTTCATCAAAAAATTCCATCGGGAACCGCCCCAAATGGTGATGGCCGGACAGATCCTCCTATATAAGAGGTGATTTACACTTTTTAAGTTAGTTCGAGGGCCTATTTGACCATTTTCCCCTTTTCAAAATTGTTTAGAGTACTATTATGCTTCTGTTTTTGGTCCATTTCTTATGTATGAAGATAAGCCCATAGATACTAAAGAGCAATACAACGAGGTTAGTAATTTATTTCATCGATTATATAATGAGTTTCATGCACAACATGGTAACACTCCCCCCCCCCCCCCCCCCCCCCCCCCCCCCCCGACACAAAGATCTTCTTCATTTAAAGGAAAATAATTTTTGAAATCTACATTTGGCAATCTTATGAAAAAAAGTAAAACAGCTCCCGTTGTTGCACATAGCTTAGTTAATGAGCTTTCTTTATATCTAACGTTTCTTGTTGACTATGAAGACGAGGATGACTTTGACGTTCTGTAGTGGTGGAAGGAAAAAGAAAGAACGTCCTGGTTTTATCAAAGATGGCTAAGCAAGTGCTAGCAATGTTGATATCAACAGTTATCGTGGAACAAGAATTTAGTGCAGTCGGCAATGTACTAATAGATTATAGAACGAGATTGAGCGCAAAATCTCTTGGGACGCTTGTTTGCTTCCACGATTGGTTGAATGCCGAATCTAGAACTCAAGAACTTAGCATCGCCCCCACCTGCCACTTAATGGAGGAAACAACAATCGACGATGCCGGAGATTCCGACTGATTATTAGGAAATGTATTTAATGTTTTCAATTTTTCTCAAATTTCAATTGTAGTTCATATTTCAAATAAATGTACTTATAGTCGAGTTGAGGAGAAGCAACACTTAAAATGAGTTTACAAGGAAAAAGTAATACACTTATAGTCATAAGGATGTTGCAACATGGTAAGCACAAAGTTGGGACTCGAAGTTCTCTAAAAGAACTATTTTATTGGTTGATGATGCATCACGGCGTTCAACGAACCACTTTTTCATCCTTTCACGCAAAAAATCAATCAATTTTGCTATGAGGTACTTATGGGGAACACAGTCCACTGAATTAACGGACTGTACATTATCGGATGTCATTATAGAGTACCGAGGGAAAGTAGAGTAACAATGTGCCCATTTTTGAACACATATTCCATACAAATAGTCATAGAGAAGAGGATCTTCAGCATCTAATAACGCTAAGAAACTCTCCAGTTGAGCAGGAGTGGCAGCTCTGACAGCCTTGTTAAATTTCCATGAAAGACCTTTGGTACAACCCTTGAACTTTGACCTAATATTTCCAAACAGGTGGAACGCACAATACCCATGTTTAGCATGTGGAAACACTGTCTTTGCTACATGAAGAATATCCTCATGACGGTCTGAAACAATGTATAGTCATTCATGAATGCGCGACACTCTTTTAGTTTCTTAAAAAAACAAGTCCATGTTGTCTTTCGTTCGGTGATGCAAACGCCAAAAGCTAGAGGAAATATCTGCTTGTTAGCATTTTGAGCACAAGCGGTTAGTAGAGTCCCTTTATAATATGCTTTCATAAATGATCCATCAATAATAAGGACATGAAAATAATGATTCCATCCTTGAATCCACACAATCAATGACATGAAAAAAGACTCAAATCGATCATTGGCATCAATACCTAAGTTGATCACTGAACCAGGGTGCTTCTCTTTCAAAACATGAGCAAGAGACGGTAACAACTGATATGATTCCTCATGTGAACCCATCAACTTTTGTTGAGCTTTTCTATTTGCATTCCATGTTTTTTTGTATGGAAAATCAATACCATAAGTATGAACCATATCATCAATGATATCATTTGGAGCATACGGTTTTCTTGAAGCATCAACATATTGACTTTTAATCAAATCCGCAATTATATCACTTACCGCTTGACGATGGGGACATCGTCTAAAATCGAGAGAGCAGATATGAACACTATCAAACCTGAAAAGGAAGCAGACAATAATAACACAGTAAACAGACAGTAAATAGTAATAATAATAATAATAATAATAAGACATAAAACAAATTAATGAAAGGACAGTGAAATAAATGATCAAATTACCTTCTTATTTGAAACATTTGAAAATCACCCAACCTCACTGCACGAACCAAATACAATGATCATCGAGGCAAACAACATGCAATACTTTTCTATTTGATGTCATCATCTTGTATTGGAAAAGATTTGAAATATCATACATTTTCAAATCCAAGGGCTTTTTGTCCTTGTAAATACACTCTCTAGCTATATGGGTAGGATTTAAACGAGTGATTACTTTAATATCTTGGAAATCCAAAACATTGTGTAATTCAAACTATAGACTAACATCAGCATCTTCAGTGACAGGAGATGAAGATGAAGGTGCAGGCAAAAGAGTTGTATCTTCACAATCCACTGAAATGTCATCAGTAGGCTAATTGTAAGAGTAATTGGTCATGTTCATCTAGTGGAGAAACATTTAAATCAAATGCAGCAACTATAGAAGAGCAGTATGCTTGATTATAAGTGGAAACAGGGCATAATTCAACACATAAGGGATACTTCGCACAATCAGGCTGTAATTTCTTAAGCGTGAGGCAAAATTTCAAACTATTATCATCATTAATAACAATTGGAGGAGGGCATGATTCAACCAAATATGTAAACTTAAGCATCTCTTTTGAAGCAAGTGCACCAATGCATGAGTAAACAAATTCAGTGAAAGCAACGTATAATGTCTCATCAAGAAGTATTAGGCCGCAAGCTCTTTTATTAGAAAACACATGTGAATCATCCCAACAACCATCAACTTTGAGCATAATCAACATTCTGCAAAGTGTATGAAAATAGAAATGACCAAAAACATCCCTAAATTTGGAAATCAATTGTAAAAAAGCAAAACTAAAATATAAAGTATATTGATTTGTTCAATTAATAAGCACACTACAGCATCTTCATACATATTAATATATCCGAAAACAATATAAGAAACTGAGAATTACTGATTCATAAAACGATTACAATGAAATCCAATGATAAAAACGTAGGAATGATAACAAACCGAGAAATCCAACGGAATCAAAAGATAAGGAACACTCGAATGACAAGAAATATTGCATGAGCTACATAACAAACATTGGAATGCCAAAAGTAATACAAACAAAAAAATCTAAGAGTTCAAAAAAAGCAGATCAAATAATACACATGATGCAGAATTACCAAAAACTTACATGAGAAAAGTGTAGAGTAAAAAGCCAAAGATGATCACGAGAGAAAATTGCAGAAGAGAAAAGCTAAATTAATGTGCGAGGAGAGAAGATATGCGAGAATGCAGAGATGATGATCGAGACTTCAGTTCAGTAGTTTAGTTCAGGGAAACTCAGGTCGTTTAACGGAATACGGAGTAAAATTTTATATAACTAGCATGGGTAATTTTGGCAAATCATATTTGAGTTTCCTAAAATATTATTTCTAGAGTCCTATGCAAGTAAATATAGGATCCGATCTTATTTTTGTCAAAAAGTAATGAAAGTGTTCTACCGAAAGCAATTTTTCAAAATGAATTAGAATCACACAAATGTTACCAAATATGGTATGAGACAATAATAGGGGGACATCCAAAAATGAAAAATGAGACAATTATAGGGGGACGGAGTGAGTAATATATACTCCCTCCGTATCTATTTACTTGTCTCGCTTTCCCTTTCGGGACGTATAAAAAAATGTCCAATTTCTCTTTTTAGACATGGACCCTACCACCTTTTAACCTCCCATCATTAAATATTTACATTTCTATTTTTCTTTTTACTTACCCCATTATTCCTCCCCATCAAATCCCCATCTCACCCACATGTTTTAATCATCTACGGTGTTTCTTACTTTATCATCGTACACCTATATTTCTTCTTAAACTACTCAAAAAGCTTAATGGGTCATCTAAATAGATACGGAGGAGTATTATTATTGTACTTATATATACTATCTCTGTCCCGAAAAGGTTCGTCATATTGACTTTTCTTGGTCAATGATGGCGAACTTAAGACAATGATTTTAAGTATTATATTTGTATAGAATTTATAAATTTTGTACTTTTATGAAAATATTTTGAATAAGGAACATTTGGATACTATAAATAATTCTGTATTAGAAAATATTATTAGTCAAAGTTGATTACCATTGACCAAAAAAGTAAATTTGGCGAACCTTTTCCGTACTGAGGAGTACATAATATTGGTGTCATATGAAAGATCATAAAAAGTTAGAAATTTTGGTATATTTTTTGTAAAAATTGAATTATAAATACAAAAGTTATACTACCTCCGTCCCGGTGGACTTTGTCAAGTGCAAAGTAGGTGAGAAATAAGATAGTAAAACCAGTGTGGTTGAGATTTGTGCAGAGGAGAGAGAAATGTGCAGAACCACAAATTTGTTACTTTAATAGGAAAGTGACAAAGTTTTTTGAGATAATCAAAGAAAAGTTGACAAAGTCGGATAGGACGGAGAGAGTATTACTTTTAAAAAAGAGAAATTGTTTCTCTTCTTTTGCTCCAAATCAGCCGTGGTGCGCGATTTTTAATTGTGATAAACAGTGAATTAATTAATTGTTTTAGAAATTGAATTAAATTTTGATGCTTGTTCTATTTTAATGCTAACTCATCTTATCTTCCCTTCCCTTATATAAAGGGCCCGAGGGGCTCGTAAGTTTGTTAGTTTTTGCGAGATTTTCAGCAATGCCCGTCTCTTCACCATCACGGCTTATGGCGGAGAAAGCTAACGCAGCCACTACTTCTGCCACATCCGCCGCCGCGAGTTGCAATCTAGAGACCAGTAAAGCGGAGAGGCACGTCTGGTTGATGAAGTGTCCTCCCATCGTCTCTCGCGTCTTAAAGCACCAAAATTTCACTCCCCCTTCCATCTCCACCCACCCTAACTCTTCCTCCGCCCTTTCTTCTGATAAGCCCGTCGCCAAAGTAATCGTCGCCGTCGACCCTCTCCTGCCTAATGATGACTTCGCTTCCACTCAGGTGCCCGCCCTGCGCGTTCGCATTCCTATCCACTTACGTGCAATTCGATGCTCCGGATTCGTTTTCCCTGTTAAATGGTTTCAATTAGAGATTGCCTCGATTTATCGTTGCATGGATTTTAGTGCATTAAATAGCGTCCTAATCATTAGTCATACAATGTGTATGGCTCTGCTATGCACCTCGTAATTTTTTGATTGCATTGGATCAGGGCTGATAAAGGAATATGGGATGCCCTAGGCTGAAAGTAATGAAAAAGTTACATTAAAATATTGAAAAAAAATCAAGTTACCATACGTAAATTCCCCTGCATTGCATCAATTCGAAGATAAACTGCCTCATTAGTCATTACCTTGGGTGGTATTTATACGGCCGTTGGCCCGTTGAGGCCGTCCTTCCAATGACATCAATAGCTCATGAAGATATGTAAAAGCTCTTTGGTTTGCCTGTCTTTTCCACTGTTCTCAAAATTTTCTCCATTTATGTTTCCAGTTGGAGTGCATTGGAATACTATTTGTACATCACTTATGTTGCTGTAGAAGTGCTAGTTTGACCCAATTGTTTGTGTGATGATAACCAGTTCACAATGGAATTGGCTGGTAGCGAGCCTGGAAACATACCCAAATGCTATTCTATGGGAATGTCAACAGAGTTTATTCCAATGTCCATATTTTCTGAATCAGGACAGGGTATGTCTCTTGTTTCTGAAGCTTTTTCACATTCTTTCTCATATGATGTCCAAAATGTCTTAGGTCCTGAACTTACATTTCAGACAAGAATTTTGTACTGCTATCCTAAGCTGATAAGCTTCTATTTGAGTTCTTGTTTTTTTGGTCTAGTGAGTGAATATGATGACTTCCAAACACAGAATGCATCTAAAACCTGTGGTTTGCTTGTGAAATGGAGGAAAATGAGTTTGTTACCTCCTCTGTGTAGGAAGGCTTTCTGTGGAAGGGAAAATATATCACAAGTTTGATATGAAGCCCCACAATGAAAATATTGAAAGCTATGGCAAACTATGCCGTGAAAGGACAAACAAGTATATGAAAAAAGATAGACAGATACAGGTAAAATCTTGTTTTCTTTCTATCTTCGAGTGGGTCGGTGCTTCTTGATCGGGTATAATTCTGGAGTAAAATTTGCCCTTTTCATTCATCAATTAATTAAATAAAAGATAAATGATCTGTTTTATTTTCTGAATTATACGTCCGTTATTTTGTAGGTCATTGACAATGATAATGGAAAGCATATGAGGCCTATGCCATGGGTTTTCTCTTCAAAGCCTTCAGGGTCTACTGCAGTAATTCCCATTTTCTTCTTATCTCACTTAGTTGGATCTTTAACTTAATTTTATGAGAAATCTGTATTCAACCCATCCATATATAGATGCATCTCCATTAGTGTATTGTTGATACTCTATGCATCACATAGAAAATTTGTATAATTTTCTATGTGAGAGAGGGGATGTTTGCATTCTAGATTATTTCGTAAGTAATCTAGTAATGGATGATGTTTATTTATTAGGAAAAGAGGAAAGGTCCTGCAAAAGGATCGGAACTGAAGAGAACGAGAAGAGACCGTGATGAAATGGAAGAAATTATGTTTAAACTGTTTGAAAGGCAACCAAACTGGACATTGAAACAGCTTATTCAAGAGACTGACCAACCAGAGGTTTGTCATCCTAGTCGCCCCTTTGGTTCATGTTTGCAGTTTGGCAGGTTCTGAGGTTCTTTCTCTCAATAATTACGATTCTTTGTGAACTTGTTGCAGCAATTTGTGAAAGACATGCTGAAACTGCTGTGTGTGTACAATAATAAAGGGACAAACCAAGGGAGTTACGAGCTCAAGCCGGAGTATAAAAAATCAGAAATTTCAGTAGATTGAATTCGACTTTCATTCTTATTCAAGCTCAATTTGGATTTGCTTCTGTAAATAAACTAACTCATCTTTGATTTAGACCGGAACATGTTACACTTTTGGTTTAGTAATGTAACATGCCCAATACTGAACTAATAAACAATATTACTAGTGATGTAGCTCACCTGGTAGGTTTTGGGTTCAACTCCAAGCAAAGACTTAGAATGGAATCTCTCTCTTTTCATCTGTGTGTGATCAAAGATCAATTTATATCTTCTCAGTGTCCGGTTGGTTCTAGGAAAGTCACAAAGGTAGAGTGTCATTCTTTTTTTATACTTCTTCCGTCCCATTGGACTTTGCCAATTTTCTTTTTTTGGTTGTCCCAAAAAACTTTGACACTTTTCTATTAAAGCAATTAATTTGTGATTCTGTATATTTCTTTCTTCTCTGCACAAATCTCAACCATATAATTTTTACTATTCTTATTTCTCATGTATTTTGCACTCGACAAAGTCCATCAGGATGGAGGTAGTATAATTGAATTAATCTTAATGCTAATAGTAACGTTTTTCTTATTTCTTTATGAACACTAAATTTGAACAATTGTTGAATTAATATTAATAAATTAGACACGTGCATTATTTTTTTTTTTTTGGATGAAATGTAAGTATATATAGACACATGCATTATGCATTACATAACACATGCATCCATAGAGACCCACTGCAAATGAGAATGACAACTCCCCACAAAATATCAGCATGATTAGATTTAGATCCCTTGTGGCTCTAAAACGCAAATATGGAAGATTGATGAAAAATGTATATCTTTTAATTGTAAATCATACAATTACAAAAGTACTCTTGAGTCATATAATGAAGTATTTAAAATTTGGATGGTGACACCATTAATGAAAATTATGAAACGTCACCTCCACCCACTAAATTGAATAAGCTGAGGCAGTATAGAACATGTGTCTTCGCATGTTCAGTTTATTTTAATATTGCTCCGTATTTTGATTGTTAAACATTATGTTTCCAGGGAAGAACAAGTCATTGATAGTTAAAATAAAAACAATTACGTAGTAAATAATTAACAAATAAAAATCTGATATTTTAAGTTTAGACAGACGTTCTAATAATTTGTGCTCCAGAGGCCCAGAGTACAAATTAATGTCCTTTGTCCTTTGATCCATTGCTAATCCAGATCCTCGATTCAAAAGATCTTAAAAACAGAAAAAAAAGGAATGATATTTAATAGTTAATACACAAGATTTGAGGTCTAAGGAGTAAAGTCATCATTTAGTGACACACCGTTCTGTCACGGCACAGAAAGAAAACAAAGCAATCGCTCACATTTTAACTTGGTGCACGTCTGCGCCATTCGTATATGAACATGTGTACATATATTCACTCTCCAACCTTGCAATACAGAGCAATGCATATGATACACCAGTCCTAAGGGAAACACAGCTCCAACTTGAAAGAACATATTATTGCTGTATTCCATCATATCATTATCATCAACAAATACAACAAGTCAACAAGATACAAAAGATGCTGGCATTATATATTTAAAAATTAAATAAAACCAAAAGAAAAATGACCAAACCAACCTAAGGATTCTGTTAAAAACCTCTAAAAAGACTGCACTATCATTTTATCTGCTCAATCAAATTACAAAAAGCTATATAGTACATCGCAGCAAGCAAAAGAGGTGAAATTTTGCCACTGCGGAGGCGGGCAAAGCCCGCCCCAACTACTGCTACAACCTGCCGCCTAATTCACCCGCCTTACCTCTCCATGCATCCTCTTCCCCAAACTGATCAGCCTTGGCATAGTGCATCTTGATAGCAGCAGCAGCCACAACCGGATCTGAAAGGCCACCACTGCATTGCCCAACAAGAATGCCCCCTCCTCGCCCCACAACATTAATACCAAGTTTGCCCCTTCCTTGTGGCACGCCTGAGACAACATCATAAGCCTGCACTTCTCTGTTTCTATACCCCAAATCTCCGGCCACCCCGTTCCCATTGACTAGTATTTCTCTGGGGAAAACAGGCACAACACCATTCAAGCTTCGTTCACCGCTATTTGTCACCACTCCGTCCCCTTTGGCAGTTACTGATGATGATGTCATTGCGAAATTTCCAAAAGCAGCAGGGTACTTTGCCAATAGGATGGCAGACTCAGGAGGTAGAGTAGAGAACCCCCCATTTTGTATCCTGTTCCCATCTCCCCAATAGCCATAACTCCTCAATGGGAGATGATTCTCAGATGAGCTGCAAAAAGTTCCAGGAGAAGTGGAAGAAGAAACACCATCTGCTGCACAAATGGACGACTTAATGTCATTGTCTTTAAGAGAAGTGCTCCCGTCCTCCTTCCGCTGTGTGCTGCTGTTACAACTACTACTTGAATTTTGTTGAGAGGAAGAAGAGGGTTTGCTAAGAATTTGACCAAACAGCTTAAAATCACCACTTGTGCTGGATTTTTCCATTTTCAAAGAACTACCATGCTTTGAGCTGCCACTGCTGCTGCTGCATTTTAGAAGGATGCAATCAGCAGAGGTCGAGACCCTACCTGACCTCCAACAAATATCCGGGGCTCCATTCTCTTTTATGGTTTTTGACGACCCTGGAAACTGCTGCTGCTCAGCAACAACTACTGGTGGTTTTTGAATCTTTATATCACCAACATGTTCCGAGGGAATGAGATTTGCCAGCATACCATCAACATCAGAACAACCCTCAGAAGCAATGGTGAGGGTAGAATCGTCAGACATTTTTGATAGAGTAGGAACTGAACTGTTGTTTGCCTGCATAGAGCTGCTGACATCAGACTTCAGCCTGGTGTCAGATTCATTAGAGTTGGCAGCAGCCTGGGTAAGACACTCATCCACTCTGGAGCCAGATTCAGTGACGGTGCAAGTATCATCATACATGGCTACCTGGACGTTAATGTTTTCGCTCAAACTGCAGTCGAACAGTGGCCCCCTTAAATCTTCAGTTGAATTCTGGACAAGAACATCGATAACACCAACATCAGGAGGGATTTTCACAGGCGGGCAATCATGAACAGTATCAGCTTTCTCACCTTCTCGGTAAGAGGATATCATGCTTCCATCGCAATGCACATCTTTGTTAATCCTGTTCTTAACATCCCTGTCAGATTCCAACTCCTTGTCCACATCACATGCATTAGATATGTGCTCAATATCTGCAGAATCCAGGTCCACTACACCATCATTAGAGCAGTTAAGGTCAGGCTTAGCATCCTGTCCTCTATCTGCCAAATCCAGGTCACAGCTCGGCTTCATCATTATAGGGGACTGTACATTGATACCTGATTTCTTCTCAATACATACAGAGGAGTCCATTTCTAGCAAACAAGCAGCACCTTCAGCATCATCACTTCCATCGCCCTCATGAGCATCCTCTCCAGCAGTAATTCCAGGTTCAGGATTAATGAGTGCATCAAGTCCAAGACACTTCCTGGCCTTACTGAAGAAGACCTTACACTGGTCTCTTGATCTTGTTTTCACAAATCTGGAAATCATGGTAAAATCCTTCCCGTATGATGAGACAGCCTGAATGAAGGAGAGTTTCTCCTCATCGGACCAATCGGCAGGGTCCATCTCCCCACAACTTTCATCAGAACATGTTTCTTCATCAACGTTCTGTTGCATAACCTCAAGCGTCACAGGTGGCCTCACGGTTGAAGAAGAGCTCACTTTGTGGTGTTTCCACTCATGGTCAATAGAACTTGTAATACATGAACATGTAGCTTCAGATGAAAAGGAACCACATATTCCAGCCAACACGTCAACAGCCACTGCCTCCCTGTCATTGTTACACACATCAACACTGTTTGATGGTTTGTTTTCACTTGTTCCGAGAAGGTATTTGGAGGAGCACATCTGAAATCCTACATCTTCATCTCCCTTGGCTGCCATAGCTGAAGCTTCACCTAATATGTCAAGGGATGGGGCTGCATTGGATTCACGGTTCCATCTTTTACCAGACGCAACAAGGTAGTTAGATTTCCCTTGTTTTGCATAACCTGGCTTGCTCTTGGTTTTCAGGAAATCTCCTGACTTGTGATTCTTATAGTAGAACTCAATGCACTCGGCTGTTGTTTTGTGTTCAAGAAAAGATGCAATTTTTCCGAAGTCTTTCCCAAATGTGGCCAGCTTGTCTATAAAAATCTCTCTTTCCTCTGATGTCCAAGGATTAATCAATGACCTCTCTTTTTCAGAAGAGCAAGGGTCTTCCACTAATGCATTGTTTGTAATGAATCTTGATAGCAACTTCTCCTTCTTATCTAAAATCATAGCTGGCATTCGTTCAGTGCACCTATATGGTGTCACTGTGCTGGAATTTGAGAGCAATCTGCTCGTAAAGCTTAACAAATCCGGTGAGGGAACCAGGTTTAAATTTCCAACTGCAAGATAATAAACATAAAAGCATGAGTAATAAGAAAAGAAAACATATACTGGGATCCAAAAAGTTGTAAAGGAATAGCCCAAATATAACTTTCTTCTATATATGTAGCGGAAATCATGAAAGAAAACTAGCTCAAAAGCTCTAGAACAAATATTAAGATATGTGAATGGGGTTTAGCCAAAGTAGCATGTGTATTTGACATTCATATTGAAATGTAAACCATTTATTTATATTTAATAACGTAAATAACATTATCTTTAAAAGTTATTTTGATTGCCAGAAGAAAAGTGGAAGGCAGGATAACCCTAGCTGAAACCGTCGGCCACATTTCCTCCACTTCCTCCATTTATACATGATGCTCACTCCTCATCTATGAGAGATTTGAGATTCAGAAAACCCAGTTTGGCAACAGGCAAAGGCTGTAATCACTAGTTGTATGTGACTGCAGATAGAAGCCATTGACAGAAGCTGCCATTACTAGATGAGACTGAGACTGAGACTTGTTGCACAGAGACCAAACAGTGGATATGAAGGCTGAAGACAAAGCACCTCAGTAGTCCAAGAACAAAAAGAGAAATGAAAGGAAAATAAATAATATAAGCCCAGAATGGGAACATATATTTGCTTGAAAATGGCCAAAAGTGATGAATTAGGTTTGCTAATGCAATTTCAAATCGATGATCAAACATCCAGATAAAAGAAGCAAACAAATGCCCTCATTAATGTCCATCAAGAAGGAACTGCTCATATGGAATTACTAAAGCATGTGATGATTTAATGTGT